TTCAAGCCTGTACTTCGAAGGCTGAGGTGAACCCTCGTCCACACTGTCTGTCCCTTTTATTTATTTTTTAAAATTTTTATTATATTTTAAAACCTATTTTTATTGATTTCAGAGAGGAAGGGAGAGGGAGAGAGAGAAACACCAATGATGAGAGAGAATCACTGATCGGCTGCCTCCTGCACGCCCCCCACTGGGGAGCAAGCCCACAACCTGGCATGTGCCCTTGACCAGATTCGAACCCGGGACCCCTCAGTCTGCAGGCCAACGCTCTAGCCACTGAGCCACACCAGCCGGGGCTGTTACTGTTTTTCTTTCTGCCCAGACTCCCTAAGGCCATCGTCCGCACTCAAAACCCAGCTGCAAAGGAGAGAGGAGTGTTTGGAGTTAGACTCTGGTTTCTCCATTGAGAGTGGATTCTTTGGTGAGAAAATGGCTCTGGGAGGTGAAATGAAAAGGTATCGACGGCTGCGCCCCGTCCACAGAAAAGGTCAGTGAACATCCCCGGAGCCTGGGAGCCAGTGACGTCCCCGCGAGGGTTCGAGGGTGAGAGCGACTCTACAGCGAGGCCGCCATGGTCACTGGTACATGCTGGCGCCAGTGGGCACACAGTGGGCACACAGTGGGTACACAGTGGGCACCCAGTGGGCACATAGTAGGTACACAGTGGGCACATAGTGGGCACACAGGGGGCACACAGTGGGCACACAGTGGGCACATAGTGGGCACACAGTGGGCACACAGTGGGCACTCAGTGGGCACTCAGTATTTGTTGAGTGGAGGAAGTGCTAACACCCTGACACCCAATTAGGGCAACAGAGTAGGCCCCACCCTCTACCACCAGTACCCTCTCAAACCCCACCCACCTCAGATCAGCTGCAGACCCTCTTCTTCACTCCCCTCCCTACCACATGTGGTAACAAGACCAAGGACATGGTGACCCTTTAACTCAGGGTCCCCCACACAGCTGGGATTTAGTAACTGTGAGCTCTGTGTTTACCAAGCACCTCAAACATACATGAGTTCCACACTTAACCCTCCTAACAGGCTTGGCAGCTAAATCTAAGCAATCACACCCATTTCACAGGTGAGGAAGGAGTAGCTCAGAGTGGCCTGCACAAAGCCACGTGGTTAGGGACAAGCTGGGCTCCAGACCTGGTCTTTCGGGCTCCAGACCTGGTCTTTCAGGCTCCAGAAGGCAGGAAAGATGGCCTCCTGTGACCAATGGAATCAGCAATCATGACACTCCAGGCACCTACTAATCCAGATCCCAAATAACCTTCAAGCTCCCTGTAGATCTGTGGAGCCCACCTGTGGCCACCCTCATCTGACTGGGCCCTCGTTTTCTGAAGTATGGAGTAATAACCGTGGCTTCCTCGTCACATACAAGCTGTCGGGCCTCAGTTTCCTCATCTGTAAAATGGACTCATTGGATTGTGGGAAGGATTGCATGAGTTAATCATATACATAAAGCAACTGGAAGAGTGCCTACTCAAAGAAAGCAGTGAGTAAGGTCATTATTACAGGGTTGTTAGAAGAATTTAGAGCAGTAATGGGAGCAGATGAAGCTCTTAGTACAACGCATGCTTCGTGGTAAATATTC